GCACTCGATGGGCAAACCAATCAAACGGCGACAGGCCTCATCTCAGCAGTGACCACGGAAGTCCAATCGTCTGTTCAAACACTGACGAATCCGCCCGGCATTGTGACCACTTGGCGCGAGCAAACCGGCTGAATTTGGGTCAGCACCGACCCCACACGCCGTTGCGTGTGGCACTTGACAGCACGGCCGAGGCCACAGCCCGGGGATGGAGTGGTGCAGCAAACAACGCGTCACCGGGTCCCGGACGCAGCAGCTGCGGCTGCAGCGTCTGAGGCTTGGGTGAAGCTCCCGGCCAGCGCACGGTGTGTCGCGCAGGGCGATCCGTCCACGGGCCAAACGGCGGGCTCAGGGCAGCAGCGTCCTGCTCGCGCGGTGAGCTCGGCCCGGCCAGGGCCAGGCGGCCAGCGGCGGTGTCCGCACAGGCCGCCTTCCGTCCAGCGGCGGCGGTGCTCGCACAGCCCGCCTTCCGTCCAGCGGCGGCGGTGCTCGCACAGCCCGCCTTCCGTCCAGCGGCGGCGGTGCTCGCACAGCCCGCCTTCCGCCCAGCGGCGGCGATGCTCGCACAGCCCGCCTTCCGCCCAGCGGCGGTGCTCGCACAGCCCGCCTTCCGCCCAGTGGCGCCGGCTCCACACGGCGCGACCTAATCAAATTATCGCTCGGGTAAAACAGGCGGGCGAATGGTCGACTTCCGAGGAGGCCAGCGCCAGGAGGAAGCTCACTCCAATAAAGGCCGGCCGGCGCCGCCGTAAAAACACATGATTTTATTGCACCCCGAGTGGAAAAAATCTTAATGACCGAGTGTTCATGTGTCGTTTGTAATGAAGGCGGCCCAGTGGAGAGGAAAATGACGGAAAAAGCGGCGTCGCCGCGGCGACAGCGGCGCGCCGGCGGCCGATGGGGGCCGCGCACGCGATCGGCCGGCGGCGGCGGCGCTGAGAGCGCGCCGCGCCGGCGTGCGTGACTTATGGCGACACCGGCCATCAGCCGGCCGACAGCGCAGCCCGCTGGGAGCGCGCCGCCGCCTCCGCTGCTGTTCCCTCCCCACAGGGCACGCACCTACGGTCAGGTGTCCGACCAGGCTGCCCACGCCGCCGGGGTCGCCTTGATCTGGACGGCGCCGCGTGCCGGGCGTGGCCCAGGATGGCAGACGGGGAAGCCGCTGGCCCGTCCAGTCCTCTACAGGTGGAGACCATACGGGGGGTGGGGGCGGTGCCAGCGCGTGCAATCGGACCTCCGACCAAGTTAAGGTCGGCGATCCATAGTTCTCCTTTTTGTTCCTACATCACGGGTTTTGCAATGAAATCGGTCTTCGGCCGCAATCGTTTTATGTGAGCCTTGCGTCAATAATATTCCTCGTGTCAATAGTGAACGGGTGCGAATGGACACTTCTCCTCCCCCTCCCCCCGTGCCATCGGGGTTTTGGCCGCCATGATCGGCTATCAGCTAGTGATCAAATGGTCAAACAAACATCATTGGCAGAACTCGAAACAACTCAACAGCCTAGAGCAATGACTTGAGGGAGCATCTGCCAGGTGCTAAGCGTACGCGCGGTGAACGTCACTATGCGTACGTTCACTGCGGTGACTGTACGCGCAGTGACGACAGTCGTGGCCATGATGTCCTAGAGCAGCCCAGAACGGACACTTTTCCAGAACGCAAACAGTGCAGACGTCCAAGTGGGAAACACGTTAAATAAAGCAACATGTGGAATGCTTGTTCGTTCGCATGTGGTGCAATGCAATGCGTTTGCAATGCATGTGGAATGCTTGCGTGCGCAGTCATAAAATGGACGTTGTAGGGATGCCCTTTAGAAAGCTGTGTAAAGCGAGCAAATGAATTGAGCAAAAAAGTTTTCAGAACAAAGGATGGTCTAAAACCACGTTCGTTTACATGACAAAGGATGACCGAAAACCATGAACACAGGGACAATACGAGCACTTGTTGACAACAGGCATTACGTATCAAAACTATGTCCTTTTAACACCCGTCATGCATTATTTTGCCATGCACTGAGGCAGAGAGGCGGCAGCACAAACAAAAAAGGTAACCCACGCCCCTGTTCAGAAGGCGTTTAAGAGACAACCCACGTCCTTGTTTACAAAGCACTTCAAACACATCTAAGCACTGTATGAATACATCGTTTCCGTCTGGCATTACTGCGTAACACACAAGCCGAACGCCTGACAACAGACATCCGCCGGGGATGCGTGCCAGCGGGCCTGACATCATGCCGCGGCATTGTTTTGATGCCGTGGTTTACGGTGGTATGCCATGCTTTGGCGGCATCACAAGCATGAACCTAATATAGATGAATTAAATAGGGCAATTAATCGAAAAATATACGTTCTTAATTGGCACCATTGGAATAAGTATGTGAAAACCCCCCGTAAAATACCCACCATTTTTGCCGGCAATCGCCGGCTTAATTTGAATTATTCCGCTCGGTCAGTCGGCGCGCTCTTTTAAACCGGCTAATCTGCGTACGGTCGGCTTTCCGGGCTATTCCAGCCGTTTTCGGAGCCATGAGCGACATAAAAAGGCTGCAAGTATTCGCGTTTCGGGACGAGCTGAGCAGCAAGCGCGGAATACTATGTGGGGTAATTGTGCGTGGAGCGGGCTGCGCCGTCGTTCCCACACCGTTTGCAGCGGGCGCATCGGCCGTTGTGGCGGGGGCGGGCTCTAATCGGCGCCGCCAGAATGCAGCAGCACGCCGCTGTGCAGCGACGGCACTCTCTAATTGACCGCAGGGTTCACGACACGGGCGCCCCTGGCGGACGGCCGCGACAGCGGCGCCACTGTGCGGCCGCCGGCCGGCCGCAATTTAGACGTACCCGGTAAATCATCGCACCTGATGAAAAGAATCTGAACGTGCAAATGGCCTAAGTAGACACTGCGAGCTTCCTGTCGTAGATCAGCGCCGTCCGTGATTTACGGATCACAAATAACCATTTGGGATGATTTACGCCGAATAAGTGTCAACTGGCGTATGCGGAGCGGCTGGGAGAGGCCCGTGGGGAGGAGTTGGTCCTCCACTGCGGCCAGCGACACGACTCGCGTCACGCAGACGCCGCAGCGCACCGCCCTGGCGCCGACAGCGGCAGCGCAGCCCGCGCGCCGCCTCGCGCAGCAGGCTGTGCGGCATGCCATCCCTGACAGTCGGTTACGACGGACACCGCGGAACGTCACAGAACATGATGCACGCTGCCCGCAACACAGGTCGTAGTGTACGCCGCTTAACATAGGTCGTCGTGTACACCGCCTAACAACAAAGGTCGTAGTGTACGCCGTCTCACGGCGCAGGGCGTGGTGAACGTCGTGCACCACCACAGGCCGTGGTGTACAGCCGAGGACGACCGCCGCAGAGGAGGTCGGTCTTCCACCCGACTCGACCGCCATGGGACGCTCCACACCGCCAACAAGCTCGGTGCACTTCCACGCACTTTTCGCTGCATGCTCGTTTGAGTGCCAAGCCCGTATGACTTTGCACAGCACGTCGACTGTTGTACCTGGGTCCTGTTTACTTACTGACGGCAGACGGTAGGTGCCGATATGATTTGATGCAGCTTCGCCACCCAAGGCCTACCCGGGCGGCAAGGGCCTACTTAGGCCTCAGGCCTACTTAAGGCAGTCAGGGCCGGATGCAACAGCGGGCCCGGCCAGGGCCGGTTGTTACAGCTCCCCTATATGGACTGCTGTTGTCGCGGACAAGGACCGAGCCGGCGCCGGGGCGAGGAGCGGTCATCTTGCCACCCAGCACGCGGCACAAGGGGCGTTCGCGGTGACCGTCTCCCTCTTGATCGGGGAGATCTGAACACGGCGAAATCCGAGCCTCTCGGAGCCCTGTCCAGGCAGCAGCGTCTGCCGCCGAGCGTCTGCCGTCTGCGTCTGCTGTCTGCCGTCTGCCGTCTGCCGTCTGCCGTCTGCCGTCTGCCGTCTGCCGTCTGCCGTCTGCCGTCTGCCGTCTGCCGTCTTGCGTCTAGCTGTCTGCTGTCTGCTGTCTGCTGTCTGCGTCTGCCGTCTGCGTCTGCTGTCTGCTGCTCCGTCTGCCGTCTGCGTCCTGCTGTCTGCTGTCTGCCGTCTGCCGTCTGCCGTCTGCCGTCTGCGTCTGCTGTCCTGTCGTCTGCGTCTGCCGTCTGCGTCTGCCGTCTGCCGTCTGCCGTCTGCCGTCCTGCGTCTGCTGTCTGCTGTCTGCTGTCTGCCGTCTGCCGTCTGCCGTCTGCCGTCTGCGTCTGCTGTCTGTCGTCTGCGTCTGCCGTCTGCCGTCTGTCGTCTGCGTCTGCCGTCTGCCGTCTGCCGTCTGCGTCTGTCGTCTGCGTCTGCCGTCTGCCGTCTGCCGTCTGCGTCTGCCGTCTGCCGCAGATCGCGGAAGGATGATCAAGGGTACAGTGCTAAGCGGGTCGCTCGTACGTACAGTGCGCCGACTTGCCGTGCGTGCTGTTAGGCGGAGGGGCTAAGTGCCCTGTTGATCGACGCCGAGGTCGTTGTGTTTAGCGGGTTAGCAACTCAAGCAGCCCAGCCACCACCAAGTGCCATTAGCCATAATTGTTGGGTTTAATGACGCGTTCAACATGCAGCGTCATTAGGGTCGCGGTCTCCCGCACAGCTCGAGGTCGGCGACGATGACGCTTGGCCTGCAGCCAGACTGAACCCGTACCTTCACCCGGCGCTCCTTCGCCTTGTCTCCAAACTGAGCTAAGCCCACCCCAAGATCCCAGCCCATACGTCAGTTTCGTATCGCTGGTGGCTTAGCGGCGTCGTAATGTGGGGATTGGGACTCTGAGTTGTTCCACCGCTATCGGAGACTGCTGCTGGCGGCACCGCCGGGCGCCGCGCTGAGCTAACAGAGCTGAGGCCGTCGTCACCAGCAGGACAACGGCGTGCCTCCAACCGAGCGGCAGGCGGTCGGCAGCGAGCTGGCCGCTGACTGCCGACTGCAGCGGGAGAGCGGCAGTGTGGGAGACAGTGCGGCATGCAGTGTGCTGTTACCAGAGGGACGGTACCTGATGCAGGCGCAGCCGAGTCGCGAGATGACCTCGTGCGGCTGGCAGACGCACTCGATCATGACCAGCAGCAGCTGTCGCATCATCAGCTGGGCGCCGGCCCGCTGGCGCTCGGACGCGTCGGCTGCGGAGGGGCACACCACGCGGCTCTGTTACTCGCACGCGCCCGCCGGCGACCGCGCCGCACACACACACATCCTTCTCCCCACACACACACACCAGGACGGCCTCAGGTTACCGCGCGTCGGCCCGCGGAGGACACCTCCGACACCACCACCGCCGCCACCGGCGACCGCATCAATTCACATATCACACGCTCGTGGGGAAGGGAAGGAGCATTGCAACGGGCAAATTAGCGGCCCAGCGCTTGTCATCTCAGGTTCATTTGACGGCCAGGAGATGGAGCCGTGTCAGGACCAAACTCCTACGTAGGCCGCGATCTGGAGTGGTGCGACGCGTCTGGTCTGTCGCGGGGCAGAACGGCCTCCCCCGAGAGGAAGCACTAGATACATGCACACGCCTTTGCTATTATCGCACCAGACGATTCATTTGCGTGATGCCCCCTTTCGTTAGAGGGACACAATTTCCTTGCTTGAACTGTGGTGACAACATTACCTTCTGTTTAGTTATAACTGAAGAAGAACAATCGTACCTTCAGGCACGTCGATACCCAGCGCTAATACCACACCACAACCACGTGCATGCGGCGCGCCTTGTCACATTCCTCAGCGACACATTAACATATCAACCTAAAAAACCAGAGTTAAGCCTCACTGGGGTACTGGAACCAATTTCATTCCAGACGCCACTCGTTCCATTGCAATCCTTACTGACGGCCACCAGGCATAGTTTCGTCACTTTTCCTGAAACTGGTGCCATCAAATCACTCTCCCAATCAGATGGTGGCATCAAGCCTCTCTCCCAATCAGATGGTGACACCAAGTCGTTCTCCCAATCAGATGGTGACATCAAATCACCGTCCCAATAAGATGGCGGCATCAAATCGCTCTCCCAGTCATATCATCTTGTGAGCGCACATGTCCAACATGCGCTGAATCCAACAGACACCAGCGGTAATTTACAGTGGCGGGGTCTTCGGGGTCACCGCGGAGTCACGGTATATAGCTGCAAACAGGTGACGCCCGTCACCCCGTGATTCCGGTGCGCCTCTGCGCTCCTTCTTAGCGAATGCAGACCGTTCGAACCGTCTTGAGCTCTTACGATTGGCGCAGACACGTTCACTCTTCCGATTGTCCTATTCGGTCCAGTTCTGACAACATGTCGCCCTTAAGCCAGCTGTTCATCGGCTGTTAGGTTATTGCTCTGTTGCCATACTTTGGCAGGTGAGTAGAACTGACAGTGCAGAAGTGCCTAAAATGCATCACTTCTCAACAGGCGCACCACTTTTGTGCACAGGTCTGCGAGTCCCGTAACATGATGGCAAGTTTGTCCTGGGGTCCCCAGCCGCTTGGTTAGACTCCAGAGCCCATATTCACGACGGAATTATCCAGCTTCATTCTAACGGTGGCTAGCGGGATTCGCACCCGTGGTGTGCGGTGTCGAGTCTGCTACACAAATTGTGGTCGCGTCAAACGGATAGCAACTGGTTTCCAACCCGTGAAGCCGAGTCATGGACCTAATTTTGACGCTATTTGGGCGATGTCCGAAATGGGCCTAAAGTATGCCGTGTCATGCATCGTCCGGCACAGTTTTGACAACGTAATGGTAGGTGGGCACTGCCCTGCGTGATACCGCTTGATTTCGACTCCTATAGAATCCACGTGAGCCGAAGTTTCCTTTACATATCCTTTTGGTCGATCGCTGGCGCTCATCATGGGCGGGGCAACGTTGAGTTTGCTGTATGTTTTGTGTTCGCATCGAAGAAATACAGCATGCACCTGGTTGCAAATCCGGTGATGCTAAAATGCGTGGGCAGCATCGACTCTGGTCCGGGGAATTTTATAGATGCACAGAAAGTTTTTACCGTTTCCTATGTTCCCGCGCAAACGGTTTGACCATAGACGTCGCAGTGGAAGTGCGGCGTCATTGCACTATACAAACGCAGTGCAATGCCTCACTTCCTCCTCGTTATTTGCTATCGGTCCGTTCGCTGTTCACATGAAAATCGCTCATCCTTCATTACAATGCATTCAGTTCAAGCCAGTAGAAAGCTGTCGAAGCATGCGTTTTTATGTTTAAAATGACGTGCAAAGATTTCAAAACAATGACGTGCAAGTTTTGGCAATGTTTTAAATTTTTCTTTACAAAACCTCGAATACTCTAGAACAATCTGACCCGTGTTAGCCCATCAAAGCCACCCGCTCCGCGTTCTGAAAGCGGACATTTCGGTGAAAAATATTAATCAACTTGTTGCAGATATTTATGTAAGCTCCAGAATGTTACGCCATGCATCCAACTGGTTTACATTGTGCAAAGCACTTTGTCGGAGTGAAAAATTACTTGAATTCACGACAGGCTTGACAAAAATAGGTCATACGTGACTCCGCAAACCAATTTTTCATCCAACACACATTTCAGGATAAGCTGGCGTGCCGCGGCACGGTCACAGGGTCGTACGTGTTTCTCCTTACAATGCTGCCTGGCCTGCGTCACAGACGTGCGCACTCCACACGGAAGTTTCAAACGTGTTTTCGGTCGATGACTGACATTTCTACGGGTTTAGCAGCGGTGGGCTTCCTACAACATTCGTAGTCGAATTGACCTCCTGCAGTCCGATACTGACCGCGATGCCGTAGCTGGTCTGGCTGCCGCAATCAAACGCCAGTCCTTAACAAAGGTTACAGGGGGGCGGGAAGTCCGTGGTTCACACTACAGTGCGGATAATCTTGCACGCACAAACACCGACGCCTGCACAAATACGACGGTGAAGTCCTGCCCCAGACGTGTGCGATTCCCGCGCCGCCGCCGCCAAGAATTTCCGATAAATGGGATATAGTTTTTAAGGCATGAACTTAGCAAAATTTCTTGCTTTCACTTGGAAAGTTGGTCTCGTCTGATTGGTTTCTTTCATTACATTCGTCGCTGCTTTATTTGATTAAGTCAGTTCGAGCCAAAAGTCAACTAACTAGGCAGACGTTCTGACCTCTCACCCAAACAAATGTTTGTGTGACCCAAAAATATTCAATGCACGTGCAGTTCCCACGTTACATACGTGCAACGTTACGCGTTTTAAAAAAAATGGCGTGCAGGCAATGCCATGATGGTACTGCACCGCCTAAACTCATTACGAATACACGTTCTTAGCCAGCTGTTGCAGTGAGTAAGGCTGGCCTGTTTTCATGCTAAATGACGATTCTTTCGAATGCTTCCGTTCCGTGCCGCAATTTTTCATGGCATGGCCGCCCAGCGTCAGGCCTGCACTGCGTTTTAATTCGATTGAATCCTCACGATAGCTGGAAACATTCCTGAAGCGAGCGTGCTGGAGTTACCCGGGCGGCTATGGCACCCTTCAAAGCAGGGAATAACGCCTAGAGGGCGCCAGGCGCCACGACCGCATTCCAAGTTCAATTGGGTCCGGGTGTGCATATGTTTGGAGTGGTGTAAAAAACACCTCCAGTTCATGCCGTCTGAAAGTGACAAATGCGCGAAAACTGGCCGACAACTACGCACCGACATAATTCAATTTTTATAGTTTACTTGACGAGGAGTACGACTAACAAGCGCCACCGCTCAAACCCAAACCGATTCCCATCTGCGTAGCAGAGAGGAGCCGGAGTTACGATGGGCATCAGGAGGGACTGCCTGCCTGCCTGCCTGCCTGCCTATGCCTGCCTATGCTTGTCTGCCTTTATGAAAACTGTCGACACTCGTCTCAGTCTTCTTCTTCTTCAGTCTACTTCCACACCCTCGGTAACGTTCCGCACTCAGAAAAAACTCCTCTACTCGCACTCTACATCTACCTGCCCGATGCCTCGTGTCTGTCCTGGGCGCAGTGTCTCTGCTTGCCTGCATATCTGAAAGGAATGCATAATAGCGCCCCACTGAACACCCAACGCTGACCCTGCCATTTGCCAGGTAAGAACCAGTGCGTCGTGTACTGGCCGCTGATCAACCACGGCGCAGGCTTCCTGCCCGCTCCCGCCACAATCCTGACCAGTGACCGAAGTGGACGGACACGAACACACGCCGCATGACGGACGCGCTACAAACGAGTGCATGCCCGGCGACGTCCTTCCGCGAGTGGCAGCGCATCACGAATGCAGGGCGCGAAAGAAGCATGCCAAAATCGCCAGGGGCTCGTGACCTGGCATTGGTATCAAGCCATCGCAAATGCCGCTTTCGTGATTAGGGTGCTTTCCTTTCCAGCTGAGCCGATGACGTCACAGCAGCCACCGCAAGGACGCTCCTTGTAAGCCGCCGTGCAGTCTGCAGGCCTAGCGCCACGCTGCCGACCAGACGGCGGCCCGGCCTGCCCGCTCCGGGTACTGGGGAAGCACCGTACCCTCCCCGGAAAGGCACTGAGCACGTGGTCGTACTGGTCTCAGTTTAGTGGGGTGCGCCGCGGTGTGTCCGGTACCGGGTAGGGTTGGGGACCGGCACCCAGTCGGGCTAATACCCCAGGCCGGTGGCTGAGACCAGCGTCCATGCTCGGTGGCACGATGTTTCGTATGTAAGCCTGAAACGGCTGTCTCACCAGCATCCGACGCATTCTTTTACGGCGGATGCTGCAGGAACGTCTGCAGCGAGCCACACACGAGTGCCCTGGCTGGGCACACAACAGAGTTGCCGGATTTATTACCCAAGTGCGTGCCACAGATCAGCGCTCAGACGCTTAACTAGACAAGCATAAGTGTCCATAAATACAAGACGGCATTTCCGACTGGCAGTTATTATAAAAACTTTCTTACCCAGTCCTGGGCCTGACGTCTCAGTCACCTGAAGCTTCCACAAACACACACAAATCGTGACTAAACCCGGCCCCGGTTGTGCGTGGGATACACAGCGCCCGCCACAGACCGGCCGGGGAGCGAGACGTGCGCCGCCGGCCGCACCACACGGCCGCGGGTCGCCCCGGAGCGGGCGCGCACACTCACCGGGCAGCGTCTTGTGGTAGAAGACCACCAGGTCGGTGGCCAGGCCGCAGCACTGCTTGAAGTTGGTGGCGAACGCGTCCCACCCGCGGTGGCGCCTGCCGGTGCGCCGCAGCCAGCCCTGCACCATCGGCAGCAGCAGGTGGTTGACGCAGTAGATGCCGAACTCGGCGCCTGCCGCCGCCGGTCGGAGCGCGCGTCACACTCGGTCAGGGGGTCGCTCCGGCGAGGCGGCACCACCTCCTCCATCAGGACAGGACCACTGGGGCCACGCGCAGCGAGGACACTCGACTGCCCCGACCGCCGACGGTGTGAGGCGCTTCAGACAGCGGATGAACGTGAGCTCCAAGGGCTTCGCCAAAAGTGGACGACCCCATCCCATTCAAATGTCTTTCATTTGGCCATTTGCTCGTACTGGCCGCAATGGCCACCAGTGATAATGGTTCAACCAAGCATTAATCCCTGTGGAGTGGTAAGCTGAGGCTGTCAGGCCTCGAGGGCCACTCCGCGCCTGGGGGTCCGCTTGGCCGGCGAGTGACCAGCGCCACTGACCGGGCCGGTTGGCGAGCGAGCGGAGGAGCGTGAACAGCGTCTCCATCGTCTGGGGCTGGTGCCGGCGGGGACAGGTGGCCGTGGCTCCGGCCAGGCCCTCCAGCAGCAGGTACCACACGCGCAGGATCCCTGCCGACCGCGGCGGCGTCACACGGGCTCACGACGGGCCCCAAGAGAGGGAGCTGCCGGGGCTACAGGCGCCAGATGATCACAACCGCGATTGGCCTGAGGGTAGACCCTTCGCCGACGACAGGAGAACGGAGGCGCATTGCCGACAACAGCGTCAGTGTGGAGCGTCTGTTGGATGCAGCATAACCCAAACAGTAGGAACCTCCAGATCTCTTTACCGAGGTAGAGAGCGAGGCACACAGTTCTCACCGCCAGTGCTCCATTGCCGTCATTGCAGAACATCCCACAGTCACTAGCTCACCGGAACGAGCACGGCTCACGACGACTACGCCTAGCACCGGCACCATCTCCATCCGGCGCGTGGAACACACTCCCGACCGCCGCCTCGGCGCCGCCAGACGAGAAGACGTCATCGGTGCCCTCCGCGACTCACCGCTGGCGTTATCGAGCTGCTCGAGCGCCGTGAACGGCCCCTGGACGGCCAGCCGCTCGTAGGTGACGGGTGGACCGTCGGCGGGCGACGTCGGCGGCTCTTCCGGCGGCGCCGACTCGTCATCGGGCGCCGGGTCCACCGTCAGGGGCGCCGTGTTCAGCTGGATCCTGGCGGCCGGATACAGCACCCAGTCAGGCAGAGGTCAACAGGCGGCACCCAGCCAGGCGGCAGGGGAGGACAGAGTCCGGTCAAACAGAGGTGAACAGACGGCACCCAACCAGGCGGCAGGAGAGGAAGGGGCCCGGCCAAACAGAGGTGAACAGACGGCACCCAGCCTGACGGCAAGAGGCAGGCGGCACCCGGCCAGTCGCCGGCGCCCCCAATGTGCGCGAATCGAACACGGATGACGTCAGCGAAACGCACACCGCGCCCCGGCGCCAGCGCACAGGCCAGGCAACGTCGCCTGGCGCCCCGACGACACGGCATTCCCGCGCTATGTCACATCCGCCCGCCCACGAGCCGGCCACGCTAACACCCTGTCAGTCACGCGCCACTACCAAACAATCCTACGGCTGTCACGCGGGCGGTGACGTCGAAGCCTTTCCCCGGCCGCAGGCCCCCTTTAACTCCACGGCCATCTGGACGTAGGATCCGGCGCGTCGGCACGTCCGGGCCGGCCTTCCCGCCAGCGCAGCGGGCGGGCTCGTGCACCCGGGATCACGGCCGGCTCCGCACGCGCCCACACGTCGCCGGCCGAAGTCAGCTTTCGTACGGCACAATGACCGAGCGTTTTCCGCCCACCGTTAAGTCTTCCGAAATGTATACAGGAAAATGGAACGGGAAAGTTGGACGTGACAATGTCAGCGAACGCCACCGCACACACGGCCGCAGACCGCTGCAACACTGAAAAAATGTTAATCGGCGCGAAGAGAAAGTCGGAACGCGTGTCCCGGGGATAACGCCGCTCAAAAGGAGGGATGGGAGATGCACGGGAGGGCCCGGACGCCCCGACCGACAAAGGTATCCATCACACAGTCCTGGGACAGGTAAATGTCGGACTCTTTACAAGACACCCCGCTCGGGGGCGGGGGCGAGGGCTTTCTTCGGGGCTGACGTCCGGCACGGCACGACGACAGGGGATGGGGGCGGGGGCATGCCCCATGGGATGTTTCCTTTCTACTGTCGTGAAAGAGCAGTGAAGGCCGCAGGCTGATGTCTCCGGTCGGGACTGCCTAGATGTTCCATTCTCCCCAATGTGTGCCCTGGAACGGCCTCGCGCTGTTCAATGCACAGTACGATTTGTTTAGTCACGCCATAAATCTCGGGTATGCTCCTGCGGGGCGAGAATGAACGTCCAGATTCTCGCGGCTTTCTCACCAAAGCACCTGAACACCCTGAACACCTGTTCCTCCATCTGGACTTCTGATACCTTGCAGCACGTGGACGATTGCATGCTTCGTTCTAATCAGCGACAGCATTATCTACCGTTTAGCATAGCTACTGCCTAGTGATTAACAGCACACGGCAGGCGATGCAAATATACGTGAGCGAATCGCTCAAGTCTAGTCTGCGTATGTCTGGGCAACGAGGGTGCCCACCCGTCAACAAACCCATCCACCCCAAGCACATGCCATGTTCCCAACCGACATGATTGAACCCAAATCAGAGCGGGATACGATACAGTAAATAACTAAATCAAAATGGGAATACATCACAGAACTAAATCAGGACATTAATTTCATATCGCACCAGCCAGCACTGGCTGATGGATGTGCATGCACATATCCATGCCTAGAACCACGACGAATCGATGGCTTACACCCCATAAGACGCCTCACGCAACGGGGGGCAGGTGAAGCGGTAATACACGCGAGAGGCATCAGCTGTTATCATGTGGGTGGCGCCAAACAGTAAGCTAATGGAGCAAGACATCTTCGTCAACCGTCAGTTAGTTATCGGGTTCACAGGGCGCGTCAACTGTGCTGGTTATGGCGCCTCGGCAGCCATTGGCGTTCATGAATGCGCTAGAAATCAGGGATAATTTAACGGGCGGAGGTCTACATGGCTCGAAACATGGCCGACTGAGTCTGTTCGGGCTTGGGAGTTTTGATGGACATCGATAAATCTACAACGATTTGCGATTTGCAAACGTAACCACATATTTGCAAAACGCACAAATATGCCTGGTGAATACTAATCACAATAAACAGAGCTAGTCTGCAAAGTTTTCGTCCCTCTCATTTTAGGCCCGAGCACCTTGTGTTCGAAATCGGTTTTCAGAATATATCGCTGGCCGACACCCGTTCGATTAGTGGGGTGCCTATGACTTAGTACGGTTCAGACATCTCTGAGACCCGCTCGGGAACCGCAGCCGCCACATCCGAATCCATCCTGCAACCGGTGTCACGTGGTCATCTGTTGTAACCCCTGCGATCTGGGCATTCAAACTTACAAACGCCCGGTAAGGCTGACCGACCCAAGGTTTGCGCACGAGGAGCGCGCGGCCGCCTACACATGGACCCACGCGTGCCAATACGTTTGCCTGTTTTGTTATGGTTCAGAGTGCGCCAGCTTAGTGACGCTGCGACAACGGGCGGTCGAGATTGAACCGGCTTGTCACCCGGGCTCTTCAACTTTTCCACCATTTGAAACTTTTACCTGTTTCATGTTTATTGAACGGACGATTCGAAAACGTGGTGATACTGCAATGGTGCTGGAAAACCCCACCTGATGAAATGGTTTGCATGCAAATGTCTAACGATTTATGCGGCACAGCTTTTGGAGAATTACGCTTCTCGTTGCTGAAAACTACATGAACCTGCGATGAGTGGTTGCGGAGACATTAGCTCCAAGAAAGCGTGACTGCCAGACCGGGCGGCTCCCGTTGAATTTTCACATAGCCCGAGCACTTCTCATTCAGCCTGAAATCCAGCTCGTAATTACATTCATTCACTCTCGAAAGCATGCAGACAGGCCTAATTTTCCGGTGTCCTGATCTGAGGTCGCGCACACAGCACCAATCGCCGTGCCCACAGTAGCAACATTGAATGGTCAATACGCAGACACCGCACATCGAGTGGCAGGCGGGACGTTCTGCGCGGCGTCGCGGGAGTGGTACGACAGCGAGCTCGAGAACTGTCAGCTACCATCTCACACGTGATGCCATAACCACAGATAGCGGAGTCAGACACCTTCGGGAGCGCGTACACATGGGCTTGACCAATGCGTCTCCAGGCACGCGCTCTGGCTGCCGTTCAGCCGGCTTCTCCTCGCCCGCGCCTGCCGGGTCGCCACGCTACACAGAGCCTCAGACGTGTGCACGAACCGCACGCCGGGTATTCGTAACAGCTGGAACCGCCGGCATTCGGTCCGGTCGTTAAAGGTAATGACTTTCGGCTGCTTGCACCCGGTCTCATCGCACCGTGCGGTCAGCTGTGAATTCAGGCTCCTTTCTGTCGTGATTAAACGCCTTGCACAGCGTGAAATGAGAGTGGCGATAACAAAGTATGCGATAGGTGTCGGTTGTTACAATGGGGTTGCACGGCAGATGACGACACCAAAACACTGGGTTTGTGGAGCTAGATATCTTTGGCAACCAGTACCGAACGGCTGGTAAATACGATGAAAAGGAAGCTAACACAAGACACCGCTAAATGAATAACATTTGTTGTCCCTTGTCAAAATGGGTGCCTCTGCTCATAATGCTTTGCCCCACGAATAGTACAAAAAAACTTGTATGCCTTTTTCGGTCACTGACCATCTTCAGTGCAAGGAAGGAGCATCTATTTCCACCACAGCAGTCATGCAAGGATATGAGGGGAACGCACGCGTGTTTGTGTTTACCTCGGGTGACATGTAAATGCCTTGCCCTTCAGTCAAAAAGCGCAAGAAGAGGCTTGCCGTCCGGAAAAGGTTTACAAAAAAAAACACACACAAGAGGCACAATTTTTTACAGGCAACACAATTCAAAGATGTCGCAACACACACAAGCTTGTCTTCTGTCACGAAATCACGCGCATCGAAGAACACTTTCGACGATGCTCCACGCATCAACAAGATACTCATGAAATTCAACAACACGCAACTACAAGACAACCACATGACATCTTCCCCGACACGACATACTTTCCTTCCCAAATCTGGAAATAACGGTTATACGCAGGCTATCCTAGCCCATCTCAGCCCTGAGATCCTAGCCCGAATAAGGTACCCCACCAGGACTAACCGCGCGCTCAGGGCGACTCCCAACGTGGGGGCCATTGGGTCCATGCGCCACCCGCGGCCCCAGAAAGCCTCGGCACGTGGAGGCACTCCCAGGATACCGCAGGTAGCGGCAAGTAACGGTGTTAGCAGTTCAGACCAAAAACGTGTCCCTAGCCTTTCTGGCTTTGAGACATCGGCGGCTTTTGAGGAACACTGTAAGGCGATTTTACGGCCAGCACGGGCGGCGAACGGTAACCGGCGATTCTGCGGACCGCGCGTAACGGGGTCGGCCACTGTTACGCTAACGGGCCATGCATCGTAACCACACGCTTAAAGCACATAAGACTACATGCTGTTATGCTTATCAGTTCAGCAAAGCACTCGTCTATTTAGATTTAGCGTCACTGCGAGTCAATGGTCCTGTACATATGAGCGTGTAAAGCTAAAAAGTTCAATTTCCCAGAAATGTGGCCTTTGGTCTGATATAATGGGATCAATTATTGACCGAACAAACACCTTTTGCAATTGCGAGAGCAGGTTGAAGACAATCCGCTGGTGTTTACCGCTAGAATGTGTCTTTCTTAGTTTGAAAACGACAGGCGATGGCAGTGGTGGCGCATGGCTCCCACCCTACCACCTATCAGTCCACGCTATGCAAAACGGCGAATCAGGGCGAGGCTTAAGTCAATTAAGCGACCACACGGCGCGGGATCGCCTTAAAAAAACCGCTGACCAGAGCAGCCATAAAATCGACCGGCCTCTCCGCTCATGATCCGACCGCGCCCATTCGCTACCGTTACCAAAACACACCACAACCACAAATCCAACATGGGCCTCGTGGCAGGACGCCCGTTACTGTGGGCGGCGTGGAAGACGGGGCAGCTGTGCATGCCGTGCATGGAGGCGGAGGATGGCGCTGGCAGCGGCTGATGTAGCGCAGCGCGGCGCGGCACAGGTCAGCTGTGTGCCGCCCAGCGTGTCCAGCGGCACCACCTGCTCCTGGTCCTGCAGGCTGCTGTTGTTGTCCTGCAGCTCGGCTGTGGACGCGGCACGCACGGTCAGCGGTGCGGCCCGGCACGGGTCAGGGCTGGTCCTGTCACAGGTCAGGGCTGGTCCTGTCACAGGTCAGGGCTGGTCCGGTCACAGGTCAGGGCTGGTCCTGTCACAGGTCAGAGCTGGTCTGGTCACGGGTCACGGCTGGTCCTGACACAGGTCAGAGCTGGTCCTGTCACAGGTCAGGGCTGGTACGGTCACAAGCCAGGGCTGGTCCTGTTACAGGTCAAGGTCGGTTCTGTCACAGGTCAGAGCTGGTCCTGTTAGAAGTCAGGGCTGGACCGGTCACAGGTCAGGGCTGCTGGCCACGTCACACGCCAGCGCTGGCCAATCACAGGTCAGGGCTGGCCCCGTCATAGTTAAGGGCTGGTCCCGTCACAGTTAAGGGCTGGTCCGGTCACAGGTCAGGGCTGGTCCTGTCACAGATCGGGGCTAGTCCCGCCACAGGTCAGGGCTGGTCCTGTTGGAAGTCAGGGCTGGTCCGGTCACAGGTCAGAGCCGACTCCGTCACAGGTCCGGGCTGGCTCAGTCACAGGTCAGGGCCAGTCCTGTCACACGTTGCGACTGGTCCCGTCACAGGTCAGGGCTGCCAGTCCCGTAGCAGATCACGGCCGCAATGCGGTGCACGGCAGCCAAAAGTTTGCCGCTGAGCACTGACAGAGGCACGGATTGACATTCCTTTCTAAGCGTCTTAACCGGGAGGCTCCACACAGTCCGCAGGACATGGCACGTGGTGAGCGGCCAGGGCAGCTTTATCCCTTGCAGGAGCGAATGCCGCAGCAGACCCCTCCCTCCTTCCACGAGCAGCGGACGCGGAAGTCTCTCTCTCTCCCCCCTCCCCCGCCCCTCCTTCTCCAGAGGCTTACTTGGCCCGCGGACGTGCTTCAGCAGGCAGAGAATGCAGTCGACGGCGGCGTTGGCGAACACCAGCACGTTGTCCGTGTTGAGGAAGGCCTCGAACACGTCCAGCACCACCCGCAGGTGGCGTGTCTCGGCTCGGCGGCCGGCGGCGGCTCGGGCGGCGGGCCGCCGTCGGCGCGCACCGAGCGCAGCGCGCCGAAGAGCGGCCGCCATCCGCTGCGGATCTCGGCCGTGCTCAGCTCCACGAACTCGCAGATCGAGCCGACGATCTGCAAGGGGGGGGGGGGGGCACATGCTCAGTTGTCGATCGACACGGGTCACTGCGCCGGCGCCGCGCGCTCGGTCGCGGCAGCGGAGGACGCAGCGGCGCGGCAGGACGGACAGTATGGCCATTGTGGTTAGGCATTACACACAGACGGTGCAGGAGTGTCACAGGTGTGACGCGCGGGGGATTCACTTGCATACTTCCAGGAGGCCTGAGCCCCCGTGCTGACTTGAGCCCCCCCCCACCCTGTGCTGCTCTGAGCACACTCATACATGAGTGAATGGGAAATACTGAGCCGCACCAGCACAATACCTTAACTATTTGTTTACTAGGCTAAGGCGCCTAAAGACATCACTATTAGTATCATGTTGATTTTGTATCAAATAGTATCCTGAAGGTACCTAATGTTTTAGGCGTGCAAATTCCTTCATACGTCAAGCCAGTCTGCAAATGTTTGAATTTTTTAATGGTAGCGCTTGGACTGAGCAAGAACCATTGGCTGCGACATACAGCAGCTTTTTAGAGAAGAGGGTGGCCAAAAGTAATACATTCCTCCCACAATAATAGGCGATTCTGCATAATCGAGGCTTGTGTAGTGGGTATACAACGCAATCAGCGACAGCGGTAGTCACGGTGAATTATTGCTAGGATTTCCTAACACGTTTTTCTGTAAATTACGCCAACTCAAAGCTTTTCACAAAAAGCAGTTCCCTTAACTGAAGCTAGAAGTCATTTCTCCGCAAAAAATCAATGTACGAATTTCTAAATCTTTATCCCGAGACCGCAAATTCGAGTGGTCGAAATCCGGGAAGACGTCAGGTTTTAGGGGTAGCTAAGATCATCATTTTCGGCTGAGGTTTCTGATTAACCCCCGACCGATTTTAAAAAGTGACACCCCAGGTGACGCGTCCAGGTTATACTGCCATCAGAATATGTATACAACAAGGTACATCCAGCGGACAGTTGCGTGCAAAACTCCAAGAAGTCCGGAAGCGTCTCATCCCACCGGACGCGTCGCAGGGCATCCACCAGGTTCACCGGCGGCGAGGTGTGGAGCTGAGTCAGAACACGAACCTGGTCCTGGACGTCGGCGTCGCACAGCTCCAGGCAGAGCAGCGTCTCCAGCGGCTTGAACAGCGCCTCGTTCACGTGGAAGTGCGGCAGCTCCGAGTGGGAGCTCAGCATGGCGTTGACCGTGTCGTGAATGCAGCACACCGCCTTCTTGGACACGGCCAGCTCCTTGTGACACGCCGCCTGCGCGCGGTGGGTCAGGGCGCGTTACACAGACAGCGGAAACAGCCGAGCCGACAAAGCGTGACAGACAGCGGACACGCCCGAGGTCGACACCGCGTCACAGACACCCAGCGGACACACCCGAGGCCGACGCCGCGGCACAGACAACGGGCACACCTGAGGCCGACGCCGCGGCACAGACAGCGGACAGGCCCGAGGCCAACACTGCGTCACAGACAACGGACACGCTCAAGGTCGACGCTGCGTCACAGACAGCGGACACACCCGAGGACGACGCCGCGGCACAAACATTCACCGAACACACCCCTGGCGGACACCGCATCACAGACAGTGGACACACCCGAGGCCCCCACCGCGTCACAGACACACAGCAGACACACCCCAGGCGGACACCGCGTCACAGACAGCGGACACGCCCGAGGCTTACACCTCGTCACAGACAGTGGACACACCCAAGGCCGACACCGCGTCACAGACAGTGGACACATCCGAGGCCCACACCGCGCCACAGACAGCAGACACGCCCTAGGCTGACACCACATCACAGGCAGCGGACACGTCCGAGGTCGACACCGACACCACCCGGCACATGGCAGATGCAGCCGGGCAACAGACGGCGAGCGCGGCCGCCTCACCTCCATCAGGTGGTGGCAGACGACGGACCAGGCGCGGATGAGGTGCACCAGCGGCCGGCCCGAGCGGGCCACCTTCAGCACCACGTCGCCCAGCCGGGTCAGC